GAGGTAGACAAGTAGATTCCTGGGACTCCTTGGCCAGCCAGCCTAATTCAATCTGCAAGCACCAGGCCAGTGAGAGGTCAAGGTTCACCTCTGCCTCCATATGCATGCATACACTGTGCACATGCACACGCGCACACACACAAACACACACAACACAGCAATCAGGACACATTCAGACATGTAAGATATCTCTTATATATAATCTTTTATAAATATATTTCCCACATAGTTTTTCTTAGGAAACTACTGAAGGGTAAGTTCCACCAAAGACAGGAAGGAAATCAACCAAATGAAGACACGAGATGCAGCATAAAAGATTCAACATAGGAAGACAACTCTGGCCATTTACCAACTTCCTAGAAAAGAGCTAAGTCTTTCATGACTGCCCTCCTCCTCTGCATTCATCCCGAGACAAGGCAACTTAAAAACAAACTGTAATCAGTACTCGTGACATTGTAGGCCTTCTTCTTAGCTAAACCAGCTGCATGCCATGGTCAATCTTCATTACCTCACAACTTAAGTCTTTGTGGAAGTAAGAGTATGACTAGGCAGCTTCTGAGTCCAACGGCCCCCAGAGGAACTGTCTGGCCTCTGCATGGTCAATATACCAAGACTTCCCTTCCTCATGATACTGGGACACTTCTATTCAGTCAGTGTCACCTTTCTGGATTTACTCTTGGAGTTGTAGTGGGCTTAAGAGTGAATGGAAATGAAGGAGGTGGACCCTGTGGATTAATCTAACACATCTGCTTAGGAAGAGGAAGAAGCTTCCTAAGGATGGATTTAGAAATACGGAGGCAGGGGCTGGAAAGATGGCTCAGCAGTTAAGAACACTGGTTATTCTTGCAGAAGACCCGGGTTTGAATCCCAGCACCCACATGGCAGCTAATGGCCCGGGTTTGAATCCCAGCACCCACATGGCAGCTAATGGTCCATAACTCCAGTCCCAGGGGATCCGACAGCCTCTTCTGAGATCCATGGGCATTGCTGGACACAGGTACACTGACCTACATGCAGGCAATACATGCATACACATAAAGAGAAATAAAATTAAAAAAAAAAAAAGTTTTGTTTGCCGGGCATGGTGGTGCTCGCCTCCTTTAGTACCAGCACTTGGGAGGCAGAGGCAGGCGGGTCTCTGTGAGTTCAAGGCCAGCCTGGTCTACACAGTTAGTTCCAGGATAGCTGTGGCTACAGGGAGACCGTCTCAAAAAGACCAAAAAAAAAAAAAAAAAAACCCACTGGTTGTTCTTGCAGGAGACCCAGGTTCAAATCCTACCACAGGCAGCTGACAACTGTCTGTAACTTCAGTCCCAGGGGACCTGACAGCCTCTTCTACCTCTGAGAGCACTGTACGACACGGGTGCACTTACCTACATGCAGGCAATACACGCATACACATAAAATTAAAAAAAAAGAGGCAGCGATCAGAAGCAAGTCAACGAAAAAGAAAGTAGTACTTACCATGGGTATAGAGTGGAAGGTTCTTTCCACTGTTTGTGGTGCCACAGAGCCTTGCCTAAGTAGCAGCTCAACAAGAACAAGGAAGAAAGGGACAGTGTTCCAGGTGGAGGGAAGGACAAACAAAAATTGCCAGTTTTTCCTTGCCAGACTTAGGTGAAGGTATGGCAGGACAGGAAGAAGCCCAAGGTAGTGAGACACACCTGAACATCACTGTATGTCTAGACCTGGCTATGGAGGAGATGCTTATGTACGGGAGCAGCTTGAATGGCCTATGAAATGCTTGGGCAGATTAGGCAGTACAAGACTGAAGGGGCTTAAAGAGAAAAATGACTCAAGTTCAGGAAATGTGTTCGAGGTGTAGTTAACCAGAGGTTTAAGTCTATATACAATTAGATACAGATCTTGTTTTATGAGGACCTAGCTAAAATATATTATTCACAGGGACTCTAAAGGCCAGGAGAGTTAGACGTATGCACCAGGCTAAGTGCTCAGAGACACATGTGCAGGAACAGCGGTGACAGTCCTTACGTAAGTGGCTAAGACTATCAAACACCATCAACTGTCTAGAGTGAGCTGATTCCATTTGATGTGGGTCACACAAATCTGTAACAGGGATAGTGGAGGAAAAGGCTTAATTTGCAAATCGAATACAGTAGAAGAGGTAGAGGTGGGACAGGTGATTCTTTGAGAATCCAGGTAGGAATCAGCCAAAGAAGGGGTTCTAGTTCTAGTTCTCATAAAAACCGGCGAGGCTTGGTATGTTTAGGCCCTACAAAGTGAAAACTGTCTTACCACACTGTCCTGGCAATCACATTTCTAAATATTTATGTAACTAATGTGAAAAGCTATGTGGACAAAGCCTACATGTGACTCTTCACAGCAGTTTGATTCATAACTGCCAAGATCTAGAAGTAACAAAGGAATCCTTCAACAGGTGACGAGCTAAGCAGATTGCAGCCTATGCAGGAGGCACTCAGTACTCACTGTACATCAGTTGTGTATCAAACGCCAACCTCAGAACTCTGAGGAAAAAATGTTTACAAACTACTGTTTGCAGTTATTTTGTTACAATCTGAACAGACTAGAATACATCATTCACTGAATCCTAATATTTCCATTTTCAGATGAGGTAACTGGTCACAGTGAGCAGGTCTGAACCCTCCAGTTTGAGTTCAACAAAGCAAGCTGTCCAAGTGACCAACACTCTCATGCCCTCTAACACTAGTCTGTTCTGGATTCCAAACACCAAGTTGACTAGGTTCATCATTGTTCAGCATAAGGAAGATAAATCCTTACTAATCCATTTCCTGCATCTTTCAGGATTTGTCACCTGAAATTCTAGGTGTCATTCACATCTTAATAGCTAGCCAAAGGACTTGTACCAAGGCAAAGATGGATTCTTCACAGAGCTGAAGTCCCAGCCTGATGGGAAAATTGCAAGCACATGCCCCTGACCTGCTGTGCAGGACAAGCAGGAAGGCTAATGTCTTAGTTTGTTTCTTCATTGCTGTGACAAAATACTCTGACCAATACCAACTTGGGGAGGAAAGGGTTTATTTATCTTACATCTCCCAGGTCACAGTTCATCAGGGAGCCCAAGGTAGGAAACTCAGGGCAGGAACCGGAGCACAGGCCATGGAGTAACACTGCTTACTGGCTTACTCCCCTGGCCCCTGCTCAGCCTGCTTTTTTATACAACACAGGCCCACCTGCCCATGGGTGGCACCACCCACAGTGGGCTGGGCCCTCCCACATCACTCATCAAGAAGATGCCCCTCAGACATGGCAACAGGCCAGTCCAATGAAGGCAATTCCCCAACTGAGACTCCCTCAACCCAAGTGTGTCAAGTTGACACTAAAGCTATCCAGTACAGACAGTCTCTCTTAGGGAGGAGACTGAAGGGAAATCCCACACACTCAGGAAGTTCCCAAAAGATCACAGATGCGCGGTCAAGAATGACAAACATCAGAGCCAGTGAAATGGCTCCATGGGTCAAAGCAGTTGCTACCAAGACTGATCACCTAATTTTGATCCTTGGAACCCATATGGTGGAAGGGAGAACCAACTCCCACAAGTTGTCCTCTGACTACTACAGTCCTGCTGTGGCACATGCACAGCCCCTCACTGTCTCGCCCACTACAAACTAATGTAAATCAAAAGGAATGACGTATGAATGCCATACTAAACCTCAGTAGTTATATTCTTTTAACTTGGCTTAGGTTTATAAGCAATCTTAAAAACACCCAAACCAATTCACACACACATGAGTGCGCACGCGCGCACACACACAAAGCCCTACAAAAACAAGACAGCAAAGAATGTACTAAATGATAAATGTAGTTAGGGATCACATAAAATAACAAACTGGGGGAAGGATCACGAAGTTATGCCACGTTAATAAAAATCACAGTATGAATCTTCTGCATTTCCCTAGCTGCTCGTGAGAATGCCAGGAAAAGCCACTTAATACAAATGATGTTATAAGGCACAACAAAATACTGCAAGTGGCCAGGCCTGATGGTACATACCTTTAATCGCGAGTCAGAGGCAGGTGGATGGAGCGATGGAGCTCTTTGAGTTTGAGGCTAGCCTGGTCTACATGGTGAGTTTCAGGCCCATGATACAGTGTGACCCTGTCTCAAAAGACAAACAAAACAGTGCAAGCATTCAAGACTAGAACTTGTGCCTTATGCACATCAGAGATTCTACAGTTAGCCATTGTAATATTCAGCAGTTTGATTCCAGTTTGTAAAGCTGGTTTTGATTGTCCTAGAAAATGTTCCAATTATAGACTTTATTCTTTAGTCCAAACTTAAATGTATAGTTTCATCACAAAACTCTTTTAAAAAAATATTAATTTTTGTGTGTATGAGTGTATTGCCTGCATGTATATAAGTGCACCTGTGTTGTACAATGCCCACAGAAGACAGAAGAGAGCATCAGATCCCCTGGAACTGGAATTACAGATGGTTGTTAGCAATGTGGGTGCTAAGAATCAAACCTGGGTCCTCTGCAAAGGCAGTCAGTGCCCTCAACCACTGAGCACCTTTCCAGCCCACAAAACTCGTCTTAATTCAATTGTATTATTTCATGTTTGTGAGTTAATGCGTGTACTTGTATATGCAGGACTGAATATGAGTAGGTGTGGAGGCCAGAGGCCAACATCAGTTTTTTTCTCAAATCCTCTCCATCTTGTTTTTGGTCTCTCAGTGAACCTGGAGCTCACTAATTTGGCTATACTGGTTGGCCAGCAAGTACCAGGGATCCTCCTGTCTCTGCCTCCCCCAAGCTTGGATTAGAGGCATGCACCACTGCATCTAGCTTTGTATTTGGGTTATGGGTATCTTAGCAAGCACTTTAATGATGAAACCATCTCCCCAGCCCTTAATTCATTTTTATTCAATAAAGTGACACTCAACAACATAAAATCTATTCAAGTAAAAACACAAGAAAATCTTCTGAAGAAAAGTATTCCATATGTCTCTAAACCAAGTCCACAGACACAAAGAACCTGTGAGCTCTTTTCGCCCAGGTCGTAACTTGAAGACAGAACACAGGCTCGTGTCCTTCAGTTTTTACTTCAGTGATGTCACCTGCAAGTTTTGGGAAATCAAGACGCAACACTGGCCCGAGCACTTTCTTGAAGTACCTCTTCCTCGGGCAATGAACCCAAGTACTAACTTTTTTGTTTCTTTTCCGTAGTCCAGCTAATGTTTTAAGCAACCCATACCACTGTGCTTCAAAGATATAATTTCCCACAATTCCAGAACTAAATAGCTAACATGGTTTAACTTTATGAATTTTTAAATTATATACAATAGAACATTTGTAAACTTTGCCAGTATAAGCATGACTCCGAGAAAATGGCACTTTTCAAAACCCAACTGGGCATGTTTACAATGTACCCGTGAGGCTTTGAGTTAACAACCCTTATAATCTACTCTGAAGACCGTGTTCGAATGTCCAAAAAGCAACGCTGGACTCATGATTTCTATATTCACACCACATAAATCCATCACAAAGCCTGATTTGTCTTAACGACAAATGACTCATTAACAGGCCCTAGTAGGACCACAACTCCTCGGTCTTATTTCAGGCTGTTAAAATTTTCAGGACTAGACTCACTAGGAACTTCTCTATTAGAGAAAGCAGGCATTTTCCCCTCTGGCATACTGCCAAATTGCTATTTTATTATTGGATTTTATGAAGCTACAGCTTAGTAACTTGTAGGCTTTATTAAATGAAAAAAGAAAAAGGGTAATTTAGTACAAACTCCACATTCCAAACCTTCCTGGATACTTTTAGTGCAAAAAACATTGCATTACTGAAACCTGTGAAATGCCAGCGAAAAATACCGTCAACTCAGAAGCAGGAGTAAGGAGACAACCAGAGAGGCACACTGATTTTTTTTTTGAAGGATTTTTATACTATATTAAAAAAACCCCACAAAATAAAAAAGGGATCCATCAACATATATCTTAGAAGTCCATCCAAGGGTCTCAGTGTCCAACAGCCGTGGAGGCTGAGGTCTGTTTCATCGCTCAGTCTGCAGCTCATTAAGGATCACTGGAGATGACTAGATCTTAAAAATCAAACTTGTTCCGCCAGATCCAACACCCTGAATTTATCCAAATTGTAGAAACATGCTTTAACCACCCGTCCACCAAAATACCTCCCATTCAGATCAACAACAGCTAAAAGGCAAACAAAAAGACAATCAGTTAATACCGGATTTTGTAAGATATTACATGTATTAAGCAACAACTTAAACATTTTTAAAGTCTTTAAGTTAGCAGTACAGATTACCTTTAATTGCTGATTCCACTCTCTCGAATTCTAAAAATATCCGTACTGCTTCATCATCAGGGGCACCAGGAATCTAGAAATGAAATAAAAGTATGAGTAATGTTATCATTTGAGATCTAACTTGTGTCAGTGTAAATATTCTAATTATAATCCTACATAAGACAAGGAATAGTCAATCATCAAGGACATACATATAATTTTTCATATCAAAAACATAATGCTTTCTGATGGGCACTGTGCTAGGGGCTGGGAACACACAGTGCAAGCTAAGCAATGCAGCCTGACTTTCTGGAGGAAGTTGTCTGTATCAGCTAGCACGCAATCAAGTAACAATGCAGTCAGCAAACAACACTACGATGAAGCAGCAGCAGTGAAGGCAGAAACTCAGATCCAGAGACTGCTGCCCAGTTGCCTTTTGACATCTTGAGTAGCTTTAGCTTTCTAAGAGATCCGTAGTATGGCTCCACTCGCTGTATGTAAGCAAAACTCCAATAACCCCCTGCAGAGCCCTTGCTCTCTTCTGTCACCCCAATCTCTACACCCTTTCCCCACTGCTCCCCACATATCCAGCAGCTCAAAGCTGATACTGTTTATGTTTAAAACTAATACACAGTGAGAAGAATAACCAGTATTTGTCACCTCCTGCAGTAAGACAATGTTAGTGTAATACCAGCTCTACTTGTAGAGAATGATTTATAGTGAGCCACTTACAATTTTGTAAGAGAAGCTTCCTACCTCAAATATCACACACTTTCCAACTTTGCCGTACTTTTCACACTCTTCCTTGGTTTCAACTTCCAAGTCTTCATCTACCTCTCCTGCACCCACCATGTTCTATAATCAAAATGAAAAATGAAGTACCAAGCATAACTTATAAATATGTAAGAGCTTTATGAGTAACGTTCTTTCACAATGGCTATGGTGGTTTGAATGAGAAAGGTCCCCCACAAGATCCTGGCTGATGTTCCTATATCACTGTTTGGGGAGGTTTAGGAGGTTGGAGCCTTGCTAGCAGAAATGCATCACTGAGTTTATAGCCTTGCCCCATTCCAGTTTGCTCTCTTCTTTGTGTTTGAAGTTGTGATCAGTTAGTGTCCTGCTCCAGCTGCCTCTGCCATGTCTCCTGTACCATTAACTCTCCCTATGGAACCATAAGCCAAAATAAACTCTTCCCTAAGTCACTTCTGTTCACAGTGTTTTACTGCAGCCAACAGAAAAGTAACTAATACACCTCCCTTCTGTTGAGTTCCTCTCGCAAGCCCCTTGCCTTTAGGAACTCCCCAAATGCCACATCGCTTGAGGTAGTGCTACTTGTTTTCCTGATGGTCCCTTGGCCTCCATGGAAGCTCTATACCCAGAAGGTGGCCCACTAGTGCACTGAGCAGCTGAGGCCCTGACATCTGCAGGGTGCAGTGTCCATGACAGTTCACCCAAGGTCTGTGTGTTTGGCACTTATGACAGCAGTGCCCTGGGGACCCCTCGTCCTTCCCCTGCAGTGATATAGAGATAAGTATGGTATTTTATCACAGCAGCAGAAAAGTAACTAATACAATGCAAATGCTCCCCATACCCCCTATTCTAGGCCCGTGCAAAACTAGGCAAGTGCTCTAACTGAGCCACATCCCAGACAAAGCAAGGGCTCTTGATGTCAAAAAATGCAATGGAAAAATTTGTCCCAGAAGTACTCCAAAGCTAGCATTCTTATAAACATACATGAAGCTTTAAAAGACAAAACCATCTATTGAGCAATAAAACATAAAAGTTCTAGAAATGTATGTCTTCAATTATTTACTCACTGCAGTCTCAACACACTTAGCAGAGAAAATACATTTTAGTGAAAAGATAAAAGCCTTCCCACCAGATTTCATGCATTCTGTCATGTATGTTAAAGGCTAGTGAGTCAAGTTTGTGTCCTCAAATGTCCCTCTGTGTGAGTCTATCCACTGGAGTCTGGTCAATCTATCTAGTGTCACTCCCTTAAAGAAGACCAGCTCTCCCTCACCCAGCAGTGATCAGTTGCCAATAACTCCTCAGCTAAGGCTGGGCTTCCTACCCACCTCCACCCTTCTATGCTGGGGTTTTGACTGGTTTAAGATTTCATGGGTCTTGTGCATGCTGTCACCATTGCTGTAAGTTCAAACGAGCAAGTTCCCAGAAGCCTGAAAAACCTTTGTTTCCCTGTGGTCATTCATCACCCTGGCTCTGAGAGCCCCCCATCCCCCTTCTGAAATGGTCCCTGAGCCCTGCTGGGTGGCAGAGGTTTAATAAAGGAGTCCTATCCAGGGACACGCACTCTGCAGTCTCTTATTCTCTACATTTTGGCCAGCCATGGCTGTCTGTGTTAATTACCATCTGTTGCATAAGGAGCTTTGCTAGTGAGAGTTGACTCTTAGGGTATCCGTGGGGTTTTATGAACGCATGTGAGGAAAAGCAGGATGGGTGACATAGAAATCAAGGCGGATGGACAAGTTTCTTTGCTTCTTACCCGCAGCAAGACCACTTTAGTAGGACACTTAAGTATTTCAGTTAAGGGATTTGAATCCGACTTCTTGGATGCATCTGTATCAAAACATATCATTAGACACTGTGATAGTTTGAATTGTTAACTTGACACAATCTAGAGTTACCTGGGAGAAGAGCCTCTGGGAATGTCTGTGAGGGATTGTCTTAACCACATTAATTGCAGTGGAGGACCCAAATTCCCTGGGCATGGGGTCCTAGACTGTACCAGAGTGGAGAAACTGAACTAAGAACTAGCACACATGTGGCATTCACTCTCCCTGCTCAACATCAAGTTCCTGTCATCCTGACTTTCCCAAGATAATGGACTATAATCTGAGATCAAGAGCCAAATAAGCCCTTTTTCCCTTAAGTTGCTTTGTCAGGGCATTTTATCACAGCAACAGGAAAAGAAACTCAGAAATGGTATGGAACTGAGTCCCATTATGATGGCTAATTAGAATAACAATCCATCATTTGTGTCCTACAGCCATTTATAAGCACCTATGCAATCAGTCCCTGCAATAAAAAACATTTTACTTTGATACATGCTTTTATAATACTTTCTCGAAGTTTCTGGCTTTTACTATTACTGCCATCTTTTGCTCATTTTAATTCCTTCTTTCGACAGAGTTACATTACACTCTTACTGGTGAGTCGTACCTTGGAGCACCCAGTCCAGTGTAATAAACAGTAAATAACCTAGCTACTAGCTGACTAATTTTAGATAATGTCACGAATTGGGAATACTATTTTTGGCAGCTGACTGGCTGCTGCCAGAAGAATTTTTAATTTTAGAAAAGGGAAATTCAGTTAGTTGACTTAAAATTAACTCATTTTTTTCTGCTTAGAACAGATTATAAAAATCACATGAAAATAAAACAGCAACTAGACACCATCTACCAGCGGACCATAGAGCAACATTAGAGCTCCGCGAAAGAACGATCTGTAAGTAAAGCTAGAAACCACATCTATAATCAAAGGGCAGACAGAAAGTAGGCTGGGCATGGTGGCACTCATTGCAGGGGAGGTATCTCTGTGAGTTCAAGGCCAGCCTGGTCTAGTGAGTTCCAAGTTAGCTACGGCTGCATAGTGAGATCTTGTCTCACAGAAGTACAGAAGACCCACTGAAGATGTGAACCAAGCAGATGTAATCACTAACACAAAGCACATGGCTCTGTCCTGCTACTATAAAAACAAGAAAATTAATCTATCAGGTTATCAAGATCCTTTGCCTAAGCAAAGTAGCTAGGCAAATATTTTCCTCAGGACTGTTTTTGTTTTTTGTTTTTTTCCTGCCCAATCCTCTCACTGTTTCACTCCCACAGGAATATTTCATCTTTCTGTCTCAATTCTAAAACAATAAAGATGAGCCTCAGGTTTCTGGTTTCATAAGACAGAAGTGGAAAATCACATAACCAGGAACCACTGTACTGCTGAGAACTTACCCTGAGACTCGCCCTTCTCTGTGGCATCACCCACGATGATCTTGCCGCCCCGCTTGCTAGTCTTCTCCACCGAAAGTGCCGTACTCAGCCCCTGCTCATGCTTCCCCAGGCCCTGGCCTTCCCGGAAGCCGTACTTCTGCATAATCTTATGTGCTACTGTGCCACTAGGACAAAGGAAAAGGATCCGTCGAGTTGATGTCACTCCACAGAACACACTGGATTTTACACCACAGCAAAACTCCTTTTGGCCAGAAGCAATTCAGATTCACATGGGCTTCAATGACACCACATAATTAGCAGTGGTCTCTAGATGGAAGCAGTGAGGAGGCCCAGGATGAAAGAAATACAAAATGCTAATGACTACAAATCAAGATGGCCTGAGCTTACCTTGGAGGGGAATGCAACTCCTCTGCTGCCATCTTTCTAGCAGAAGGAAGCACCGCATGTGTGCTTAGGACCAGTTAGACAGTAGCCTGTCAAAAACTAAGTGTGAAGTTTCTAATAACGAAGGTGACTGTATTTTTCTAAATGGGAAAGCTGAACATCCAATGAAGGAACCTCAGAGATCATCTACATAACAGATGGGATATTAAAAACCAGACCAGGATTAGATGGCTAGCTTAAGGTTAGACCTAAGCAAGAACCACATTTAAGAGTCTCGCTACAGGTGTTAGGGCAATTAGAGTAAGAACCACAGCTCCTGAGTCTTAGTCCACTGCTTTCTATAAGATGGCATTAGTTTTCTCCTCCTTCTTTGAGAGGTGTCCAGTGGATCTCAAGGGTGCCCCCAAGTGATGACTCACGAAACCTTCCACTAGAACTGCGCGTAGTATTTCATTTTCTGTAAATTCCTTTAATTTTGTTTTTGAACATGCTATTGCAGGTCAAAACAAGTAAACAACTAAAAATGGTTAAATTATATCATACTGCATCTTTCTTAACCACAAGTTAAAAATCCAATCCCATTTAAAAGAAAATCAAACAAAATGTCAATTTTACGATAAGCAGGAGGGACAGAAGCACCACCCCCAACCCTCCTGCACTCTGGGGCAGTGAGGCGGGATCAGAGCACTCTGGCAGCTGCAAGGCTAGGGGCAGTGGGGCAGCAGAAGCAGAGTGCAGTATGCTACTGCAGTCGTCACTTGTGGTTATGAGCACCTGAAAGGAGGCCAATGTGACTCGAGGACTGAAGCTCATATTTTCATTATTTGAAAAGTCCTCCTGCTGTGCACGAAGCCCAGCCATCGACTGCAGCTTACAATGGTCTCTTCCCAGAGGGCTCTGAGAACCAAGGCAGTTACCCGCAGGTGCAGCAGTTTAGTAGGGTGGCCACACTGGCTGTCTCACTGGCAGTGTGTTTACTGCAGACGGCATCTTGTTTTACAGCACAGAACAGAGAAATTAGGGTGATGCCATTTCAGCATCACAGTAAGCTACAACACAGTGTACATACCTGCAGTCCTAACTCTGCACTCCAGGGCTGAGGCAGGTGGCAGGGAGACAGTGAGTTTAAGTTTAAGGCCAGTCTGTGCTCTTACAAGGAGACCCTATCTCAGAACAAAGAGAATCAAGTCTTACCTGAATATCAACCTTAAAATCTATTTTGTATACTCTGGCAAACAAATGTCTAATTATAGTTAGAATGATAAGAGGTCTTTTAAAATTTATGTTCTGAGGGAAAGTGGCTAGAGGCCAAGGCCAGGGCTGATATAAGTAGACAAGCATTCCACCGCTGACCTATAACCCCAGTCAAAACAGTTTCTTAAAACCAAACCACAACCATAAAGCAAATGATCTAAGTCATTAGGAAAAAAACCATGTCCCTCAACCTTTGAAGATAACCTAAATCAGCTCTAACCCACACGACCCATTCTATTTGCAAATGTTGTGGGAAAAAAAGTGTAATCAATTATCAGAAATTATCCCTATCTAGAGATAGTGTGCAACAGCTAAATCAGCCAAGACTTGCACTAGAAGACTGTTTCGTGCAAAACCTCAGTGGGTATGATTTGAACACTAATCCGCAGAGCACATGACCAAACACACCCAGTGTCTCCTTAGAAACCAAGCGTGTTCATTTTCAAATGAGTTCCATCTACTCAAAATGCAGTAAAAACGCCACACAGTTTCTCAGAGTCTACCTGTGCAGCCCAGGTTGTCTTAGATGCAACAATCTTCCTGCCTGTACCTCCAAAGTGCTGGGATTACAGGGGTATGCCACCATCCCCAGAATCTCAAGCCATTTTTATCTTTTTCTTAGCTAGGTTGAATACTTCAATCATTACCCCATGTTAGCAAGGAAGGAGTTGCTGGGCCCAGTTGGAGATCTTGGTCTATCAGGTTCCTCATATACCGGAGGAGGAATAGCAGCTTTGGAAGACTGTGATCGAGGTCTGGAGTCCTCTTCATATGGAAAATCTCGGGGTACTGTTGGAGAAGAATAAAGAAGTTTACCCAAACACTATAAAAAACACTGGAAACATTACTAGTACCAACTATATACTTTCACTGATTTTACTGTATTCAGGGTATTTTTTTTCTTAGACAAGAGGATTTAGTTAGCATTCAAAATAATGGGTTGCATAATTCACACATATTGCTTCTCCTGGCAGCCCTCCCATTCCTCTAATCTACATTTCTGGTTTACCAAAAATTCCCCCACTTCTACACAGCCTTTTGGGATCACAGATGGGAGACCTTCTTCTGATGGACTCCACCTCTGCTGCTTATGTCCTCAATCGTCCTTTCTGAGGCCTCACTGATATGCTGCTGACCTGCTACAGCACTCACTTAAAACCACAACTCTTGCTTGAGTCTCAAAGATTTTCTGCATGTTCCAAGGAGATTCAATGTAACGCTCATGAGTCCCATGCATCTGTGCACCTACCCTAAGACTCTAACTTACTCCTCACCAGCCTCGCAGACCACAAAGGTCTTTGAGGTCAGGACTGTATGTAATACTTTCCAACCCACTACACACTAATCTACACACAGAATCACTAGGAAGTGTTACAGCTGTCAGACACCCAGCCCTCCACTCTCAGAAACTGGTTTTAATTAGAGTTTACTGCTTCTAAGGGTTTTGTTGTTTGTCTTTAACCCAAAAAATACTTAACAATATTTTTAAGTTATCTTCTTTTAAAAGATAATAGTATAATGCATATTAAAGAATATTACAGATGGCCAGATTTTTTTTTTAATTTATTATTTTTATGTGTATGAATGTTTTGCCTGCATGTGTATAAGTGCACTCATGTTGTACAATGCCCATGGAAGTCAGAAGAGGGCATCAGATCCCCTGGAACTGGGTTTATGGACCATTGTTAGTTGTCACATTGGTGCTGGGAATCGAACCCAGGTCCTCTGCAAGAATAGCTAGTGCACAGTGCTCTTAGCCACTGAGCCATCTCTCCAGTCCATAGATTTCTTTTTAATGACAGGTTAGGTTTAGCTCAGCCCAAAGCCTAGGGAAAGCTCAACCCCAACCTCCAGATTCTAGAAGCACTGGCAGAAGCAGCAGCAGTGGGTGGGTGTGTTATGACACCAAGATACTTAAGCAAACACTCTGAAAGAAATAAATGGGCAAGACATTGCCCCTTGAGAAAGGCTATACATCTGTGAGTTAAACTGTTATGTCTTTCTGCCTTCTTCCTCTAGGCTCCCACTTCTTGGAATAAGCATGAGTCACCAGGCCCAAGTTTACTACAGTTTTTATTAACTCCAAATGTAACTAACACAAACATGTGATCTTTGGGAGAAAAAAAAAATTGCTTTAAGAATACACACACAAAAAAAAAGATTATCCCACCACATAAATCTACACACATTAAAACCTGACATTAAAAGGTGCCAAGTGTAGTGTGACTGTGGCTTGAGCAGTGAGAACCAAATAAAAGACTCAAGCTTAAACTCCCCACTGTAGGGTTAAGAGCCTGCATCAGAATAGAAGAAAGATGTACATACATTCCTTGTCTTTCTCTACAAGAGAAGTAGGTGGCGCGATGGCAGCTCCTCCCATACCTGCAAAACACAAAGACTGTGATTAAAGGATGCCTGTCTCCAAGGACTGACGCATGGCACCGTGTCCATTTGCTGTATTAGCCACCCCTGTCTCCAAAGGAAAAAAAAAGATCTGCCACCCTGGCAACATCCAAGCAATTACGTTTCTAAAGCTAGGATAAAAAATGTAGAAAATTAGGGCCTTATGAGTCCCACTCTTTTGAGCAGCTATTGACAGCTGATGACCACTGACTGGGGAAAGGAGTCAGTTTCTGAAGGATGTGGCCCCTGGTAGGTTGACCACACTCCAGTGGATGGCCCCACACCCATAAGTGTAAGTGTACATACATACATACAAATGCAGCACAAATTGGACGCAGTAGGATACTGAAAAGAGGATACTTAAGTTTTGAGGGGTAGATAGGCCTTGTGGGGGGAGAGGACTGGGTGAATGTGATCAAGATACACAGTATGAAATTCTCAAAGGATAGAAATAGAATTTCTAAATGTAGAAATTTAATACCCAAACAAAACCATTTTCTCAAAAAGGCACTTAAGAGCCATAGAATGTAGTTCTCAAGTATGTAGTTATCAGCACAAACCTATAAACCCAGAGAATCAGCGTATGAGCCCGCACATGCATATTCAGGCCTTCACCTGTGCTTAATCTTTAAAAGCTCAAATAGCTTCTGGTTTCCAGTTGAGAAAATGCCCAGAGAATGAATCTACAGAAATGGAATAAGCCCAGCTGCCTATGATACCAGTGCCATCCCCCACACCAGGTATGCCCCTTTGCCAGGCTGCAAACCACTGACACTAACACCTCTTTGCATCAGGGTCCTGGCTCCTGAAGAACCTGTTATGCTGTGTCACTGCTTCTGATCATGTCTGCTGGCAGAGAACGAGGATACCGGGCCTTCCTATCAGCTGGCTGACAACTAGAATGTGCACAGGGACTGAAAGGAATTCTTCCTTAGGTATGAGGCCTAACGTACATCACTGTGTACCTGGCCCGGCCCATGGCAGTACTAGCAAGCTGGGAGGTGGAGGCAAGAGGGCTGTGAGCTCCAAGCCCACGCACAGAGATCCGATCTCGGTGTCCTCCCACTCAGTGTAATGTGGCTTAATCACCAGTGAAGTAAAAAATAATAAAATATCAATTAAAGCTGCCTCGGTGACCATGCTGTACTAGCCTACAAAGTTTCACAAAAGACATTAATGCTAGTAGAAATATATTGGGATTAATAGACTGGGAGACACAGGTTAACAGGAAATAGGAACCTAAAGAAATACAACCTTCTTAAATTCCTGGGGACATTTTAAAAATCTGTTTTGTTTGGTTGACACAGGGTCTTGCATACTGTGTAGCTCAGATTGGCCCTGAACTTGTGATTCTCCTGTCTCCTCCTAAGCGCTGACATTATAGATAGACATGCTCCACTGTGCTCAACTGATAAAAGTGTAATTTATAAACCATGCATAGTAAGAGATTAACAACAATAATTAGCAACTGTAACAATGTACTCTAATAAAACTATGTGAATGTGGCCCCTCAGAATATTTTACTGCACTATAAACCATATTTTCAGACCTCAGTTGACAATGTGCACTGAGATACAGTGAGACTACTATACACATCAGATATAATGCTGCTGTTTTCCTATTAGCTACAAGTTCAAATACAAAGCCTACCATTGGGTGTACAGTTCCTGCTACTGTTTAAAGAGTAAAATGTTCTCAATATACAGAAAGCACACCTTACAAAAAAAAAAAAAAAAAAGAGCAATTTACGGGCTGGAAGATAACACGAATATTTAACTTATAAATGATGGTTAAAATGGCTGTTGATAAAGGGTATCAAATGTGCAGCCTACTACCTGACATGCAGATTGCAGTCAATAAATATTATTATTCTAAATAAGAAAAACAATTGAGTTGTGGCGATATATGCCTATAATCTTAGCACTCAGAGGAGTCTGAGGGCAGGTGGTTGGTCCAGAGTTTAAGGCAAGTCTGTGTTATACAGTGTATCAGGTCAGTCAGGGCTATATGTAATTAGAAGGTCTCAAACAACACTATCACCACCAAATAAACAAACAAAAAGGAACAAAACACCAATACAAAATCATTCAATTCACATATACATTTATACACTAAGAATTTACAATCATAAACTTGCTCTTTTCCACTCAAAAGTTATTTCTAATATTTAAAGTATGCCCTATAATAGGTTTGAGTCTATAGCTGACAAGACCACTCGTCATAAAACTGAACTACATGTCTAGAAATATGCCAGGATTTATGACACATTAATCCCAGGGCTTGTTAAGGACACTATATTAGAATGAGGGTTTCAGGATTTCATGGATAAGTGGACTTGTGACACCCAGAATGTCCTGTGACTCATGTGTCTCACACTTAAAATGGAAGGAAACAGAACCTGCCCACAGTTGTGAAGAGCCTCTACCTAGTAGACACAGAAGATTCAAATTCCTCACTGAAATCTCAACCTGACAACCTGAAATCTCAACCTGACAACCTGAAATCTCAACCTGACAACCTGAAATCTCAACCTGACAACCAAGCTAGTCAACAAAAATCTCACAACACCAAAAACCTAAAATAAGAATTATTCTTTCGATTGCTGCTAGCTACTGCTAGTAACTGCTAAGAATTTATTTCAAATACAACACAACTCTGCTCAGAAAACTGAGATAGAAGGGACATTACAAAGGCCCTGGTGCAGACTCCGCCCTCCCACGCAGCAGGGGAAACAACACACAGAGCATAGCAGACTCTCAAATCCACTGAGTAACGATGTGCTCTGGATGGCGTCTTCCCTCTCTCATCCAGTGAGGACCACAAATGTCCTGGGCTAGAGACAGGCAAAGATGACTGGGCCTCATGCAAGAACAGAGCTTATGCTGTTTTCAAAGTACACAGCAGATGTCATAAAGCGTTTATGAAGTTCAGAGTGGAACGCCTGTGACAATAGTTAAGACCGGAAGCTGCTGTGCGAATGTGGACTTATCCAGCTCAGTGTCAATGAGCTATGTGTAAAATGCAATAAAAAGCAGGCGGTGCTGGCCAGAGCGGCCTCCTGCCCAAAGCGGCCTGCTGCCCAAAGCAGTCTTACTTCTTTTCCTCCGCTCTCGCTCGTAATCTTCATCTTCATCAGAATCTGGGTCTGGTCGCCTTGAAAACCCACTAGCTTCATGCCTGTCTTTACGCCTCCTGTAGGAACAAAGAAATGAATGCTCATCACAGACCAAGCAGTTTAGAACATGAAGCTTAAATGCTATTGTGACTTTCTCTTGGCAAAAACAAAAAACAAAAAAAAAATCTGCTTTCACAATAAATTAACCTGTGCATACATGCTGGAATGTATACAAAGGAAACTTCAAAAAGACAAACTGAACAAATTTAATAGATACACGGATGTAACCCATAAAAGTTTTCTTACCATTCAACTTGATTATAAAGCACATGCGGTTTAATGACATTAGGTCTCTAGGCTATGCACTCACTCATGAAAAGATCCAATAAATGGGAAATAGCATATTCATGAACAGTGCATATTAACAAACAATATTAAAAATTTTAATACAAATAAGGGGACTGGAGAGATGGCTCAGTGTTTAAGAGTACTGGCTGCTCTTACAGAGGACCCAGCACCTACATGGTGGCTAACAACCTTCTGTAACTCCAGCTCCAGAAGATCCAACACCCTCTTCTGACCTCCGAGGCATTGCACAACACAGGTGCACTTACATACTTGCAGGCAATACACTCATATACATAAAGTAATAAATATTTTAAAAAAACAAATCCTATTACCTATCCATTTTTTAAAAATTTCAGATAGCTCGAAAAGAGTAAAGACTAGCACTGAAATATTGTGCATAGTTGTGATTCTAACAATCATAGCCTAGAAAAAAATTTTCAACATCCACTTGTCTGATGTTTTTCAGACAGGGTCTGTCATGTGGCTCTGGCTGGACTGGAATTCCCTATGTAGGCGAGGATGCCCCTCAGTTCCCCTATTCTGAGCGCTGGGATTACAAGCATGCACACCTGGCTAACATCAGTCTTACATAGCACTCTTCTAACTCACACAAAATCTACAGTTTAGGTTTTCTGAGTCTCTAATGAAACATGTTGGTGTGCTGTCAAGGGTGGGATGGAACAATGACAAATTCTCAAGAACAGTAAGATTTAGGCCTCAGCCCTTGACACACCCCGAAGTCCTTCTCTGACATGCTAAGCACGTTCCGTCAGCAAAGCCCCCCAGCCCAGGAAGCCTTACTTCTCCCTTTCTTCTATTTCCTTCTGTCGCTCCAGCTCCCGCTGCCGTTGCCGCTCTTCTCTTTGGCGTTTCACCACTTTCTCATAGTCGTTAGGAAACATAGGATCATATTCATCAGCTAAGGGAATCAGCACTTCTCCTGCAGAAAACCCACTGGGAACAGGATCCTGAGGAAGCAGAAATATCCAAGTACCATCTTCGCATCCAAGTTTATTCACAGAATTAACGTCACAGAATGAGGTAAAATAGCCTTCCAGATTATCTACTGCTCTGGAGTTTTCTAGATGAGGAAACAAATGCCCAGGAGGCCACACCTCCCCAGGAAGTGGCAGAACGGTGACAAAGCAAAGTAAGTTATTTACAGAGAAGCACTGAAAAGCTTAAAAAGACACGACAATCCAAGAACACAGTCATGTTTTAAAGTGTTTTATAAACTACCACAGCCATCATTTGAATAGTATCTATAGAAAAATAAATGTAAAAATGGATTATTTTCCAGCCCTCCCTTCATCCCTCCAGACGGGCTCAGAGCCCCAATCCAGACACAAAGTGGAGGATGACCTTGAACTCTGATCCTCCTGCTTCCGGCTCTTCCTCCCTTCGTTATAGACATGCACCACTATACCTGACTCATTTTGTTTTAAAAGTCTCTCTCTCTATTTTAATCTACAATAAAATATATACTAATACTGTTTACAAATATTAACAATTAGAAACAACTCATATAGCCTACATTAATTAAATAATCATAGGTCATCTATAAAGCAGTAATACATTGAAGCCATTAAATAAGCATAGTTTTGTACTTTTTGACAAAAGTGGACAGACACTCCATGAGGTATGAAGAAAAGCAAATTAGAGAACAGAAGGTAGAGGAGCCATACAAGAAAAACATTCCAAAATATGTAATTTTTAATTTCTGGAGGATATGATTGAAAAAATACTTTTTTTTTCCTATCTCTCATTTCTGATGTTTCTAGATGATTTTTAAATAAGTAAATGCCTTGATGGTGATAAAGTAAAAACTGAGCTGGAAATAATACTAACTAGCTTTCAACAGCCTGCTGAGGAGACCACTGGTTAAAAGTTAACACACATGTGGGCTGGAGTAATGGCTTAGTGGTTAAGAGTGCTTTATTGCTCTATCAGAGGACCAGAGTTCAGATCCCAGCACCCACCCTGGGCAATTCACAAACACCTATAACTCCAGCTCCAAGGGATCCAACAACCACTTCTGGCTTCTATAGGCGCGCGCGCGCACACACACACACACACACACACACACACACACACCCCTTAAAAATAAGAGTAGCACATATAAAATAAAATATACAAACAACAGGAGAGTGTATGAGACTACAGGGATGTGTGGGTTTACCTTCAGCCCAGCAGCTACGTGAGGTGGTGTGTCCACAATCTGTCGGTCATCTGAGGAGCCCCCTCGCTTTAGGTCAATGACTGGGGCAAGGACTGTACTTTGTTTTGTCCGCTGGCTCTAGCATCAGAAACAAGAAAAGTATAACAAAGTTCCAAATTAATTCATACTATTCACAACAGACACTTTTTTTCTGGCAGCTCTGTAACAAGCATAGGATAAAATCATAATCTTAAACTTATCCTTTAAATGTCAGCTTTTTGTTCTTGTTTCTTAATTTTGTTTTGAGGCAGGGTTTCTATAACCCAGGCTTGCCTCAAACTCCCTAAGTAGCGAAGGATGACCTAGGATTCCTGATCTTTGTCTCCACATTCCTGAGTGCGGGTATATGACAAGGCCCAGTTTATATTGTGCTGGGACTTGAACACAGGGTTTCTCGCATGCAAAGCAAGCACTCTACCAACAGAGCTGCGACCTCAACCCTTCTTTGCTCTCTTTTTTTTGGAGTCAGGGTCTTACTATGTAGCTCTGACACGAGCTATGTAGACCAGGCTGGCCTCAAACTCAGTGATTTGCCTCCCTCTGCTTCCCAAGTTGCTATTAAAGATGTGCACCACCACACATGGCTTGTCTTAAAAAAAAAAAACAAAAACAGATTTCCTCTACTTCTGAAAAATTTACAGTACATGGGACTGCTTTTATTTACATGTGACTATCGTGTGAAAAAGATCCATATTGGATCCCTTAACCATAGGTGGGCAAGCCTGAATTATACTTCATCTTGCGTGAATCCTTTTTGATGAATCACATGCTCTGACATCTGGGCAGAGATGCCTAGAGGTCAGAGCTCTCCATCTCCCACTAAGATATATAATCCTGCCCTATTTTTTACCACATTCATTTGTGTGCATGTCTGTGTATGTGGGTGGGCATTATGTGCCCCGGTCTGTGTGTGGAGCTCAGAGGGTAACTTGTAGGGATGAGTTCTCCCCCTCTACCATGTGGGTCCTGGGGACCAAACTCAGGTCATCAGTAAGCATCTTTACCCAATGAGCCATCTTACCACCCTCAAAAATGTATTTTAAATAGCTGATTTAAAAAAAAAAAGATTCTACCAAAGTTTCCAAAATGCACTTTTGGTTTAGCAATGTCTCCATTTATAACAGTTTTCCTGATACCACCACGTGGCATCAGCATCTTCTTTGTTTATTCCCCTGTGACAGTGATCTTGTAAAACACTGCTCATTTAATTCTCTTTAATAACTTCCTGGTGGTCTAGTTTGACTTCTCTTTATGAGCTGTGATTTCTAAATGCTGGTTTGATTCAGGGTAAAGCAGCTAGTCTGAGCTGGTGTGCTTCATCCCCATCACACCAGGTGGACCAACAAGCTGTCAGTGATGATCACTGGGAGCTGATGGTGACTGAGAACTTTATAGTCATAAAAGTCTACCTTTCTTATTTTGCAATTTAAATTGTACAAACTTTGATTCTTATCACCATGTAAATCTTATCTCTCTGGAATACAATAATGCTTTAAGTAAACATAGTTTGATCAGTTAATAAATAATTCACGGGGCTGAAGATGGCTCAGCAGTTAAAAGCACTGACTACTCTTGCAGAGGACCCAGGTTCGATTCCCAGCACCCACATGGTGGTTAACAACCATCTGTAGCTCCAGTTCCAGGGGATCTGATACCTTCTCTGACCTCCGAGGGGTGTACTTACACACATGCAGGTAATACTCTCAAACACATAAAATAAAAATAAATATGTAAATAAATAATTCACAGCATGAATTATCATTATTATTATGAACAGGAAGTAAGAGAATTGTGTATTTGCTCATTTCATTCAAAATGCATTTTCAAAACGCAAATACAAACAAAACTACAGCTTCATCTTTCAGATATGGGTGAAATTTTCCCTACCAAATACTTTTACAGGTTTGGGTAGTACTCTGAAGAACTCGATAAACAGCCTATGAGAAATACAGTGTAGCTTCACTTCCTTATAAGAAGAAAAACAATCACACACAGCAACCTTAAAATTGATGCTAGAAAGTTAGCAGAGATGATTTTAAAAGTAATTTTCTATTTTGACCAACTGAAACTTGAAGAGATTTGCTAAGAGCTGACATTAAAATGTCTGGATAAATAAAAGCAAGCATAAATTAAAAAGACAGGCAGACAAGAGCCTAGATTTCATATGAACATATGAATTTCTGGCTTCTTATTGGGCCCATATGAGGAATAAAGCCTCCATTAAGGATTCACGTTCTAAAACATATAGACCCTCAGAAAATAAGCAAAGTGGACAATTCCCACTCTTAAACTATTTGTGAGGAACACACTCAGTGGACTTTGGCGCTCCCACTCTGGGCCTGTCTTTACCTTCGCTTGAGTGAGGGCTGCCTTCTTCACCTGAAGCTGAGACTGCAGAAGTTTGAAGTTTTTGGACCAGCCTTCAGTTTTCGAGTCACTGGTCTCCACTCCCAGGTCGTCATACAGGGACATCTTCTTCTCGGGTTAGTGCTGCAAGGCAAGAAGAGTAGCGAGCAAAGAACGCCCAAAAGAAGGAAGCTGGAGCTGTGTGTTAAACTACAGCGTCACAGAACGTTAAAAAGGTTCAGGAGCCTGAGAACCACAAATGCAGGGTTCTTTCTAATACACAAAACTATTTAAAATGGCTTCTAGAATCAACCCACCTCCCCTCCCTCCCTCCTTCCCTCCCAAGACAGGGTCTCATGAGACCCAAGCTGGCTTTGAACTCCTGACTCCCCTACTCCATTCCTAAGTGCTAGGATGTGCCACTATTTCCAGCTCAGAATTTCTTTTCTCAATCTAAAAGACTATACGGTGTAGTAATTTATGAGTAAAATCCTTCGGTTCTAGAGGAGGTAATGAAGTAGGATGAAGGTCTACATTTGGGTTATTTGACTATTAACTATATATAGTCAAATTAAAAAATTATATTCATCTCAATGGCAAAAGAAGTAGTCTTTTGTAATTTTGTTTTGTTTCTTGAGGCAGGGTCTCCCTGTAGCCCCAGCTGGCCTGGAACTCGCCATGGAGACCAGGCTAGTCTCACTCTCACAGAGATCCACCTGTCTCTGCCTCCCAAGTGATGAAATTAAAGGCATGCGCCACCATGCCCGGCTTAGACAAAGTCTTATGAAACAGCAATTTGTAGGACAGATTGGCATCAGCAGCTATCCTTTAATAAAGAAAAAAAATTTAAGTCAGGTGTGGTGGCTCAGTTCCGTAATCCCAGAATTTGGAAGGTAGAGGCAGGAGGATCAGGAGTTCGGGGCCAGTCTGGGCTACACCAGATTATGTCGCCCCCCAAATTTTTAAAAATATTTTATTATTTTTATCACATGTGTATGAGTATGTTGCCTGTACGTTAAGTGCACCCGTGTTGTACAATGCCAGCAGAGGTCAGAGGAGGGCATTGGATTCCACTGGAACTGGAGTTATGGGTGGTTGTTAGCTGCCATGTATGTTCTGGGAATCAAATCCAGGTCCTCTGTAAGAACAGCCAGTGCTCTTAACTGCTGAGCCATTTCTCCAGCCACAGCCCCCCAAATTTTTAAATTAAATTACACATGTTCAAAGAAAATATGATAAAAATGATTTCTTAAGTTGTGGTTATTATAAACCACGACTCTGAAGGGAAGACTGTTAGATGGGTTTATCCTACTATTTCTTTATTAGCATCTGCCTATGGGACCAAGGATGGGCTCAGCTGGTGGAGTGCTTGCCTAGCATGCACAAAGCCTGGATTTGATACCCAGCACTTGGAAGGTGGAGGCAGGAAGATTATAAGTTCAAGGTCATTCTCTACTACATAGTGAGTTCTAGGTCAGCTTGAGCTACACAAGACCCTGTCTCAAACAGTTTTTTTTTTTAAGGCAAAAAGTGGTGACAGTTGAACAATGTTAAGTATACTTATCATCACAGAAGTACACACTTAATGAATGACTAAAATCTTATGTCTGTGTTACAATTATTTTACCAGCATAGACCCACCTGGAGACCAAGACAAGACCATGAGTTCCAAGACAGCCTGGGCCACAGAGCAATTTAAAAAAAAAAGGCAGCACATGGGGTGGAGACGAGGAAGTGAGCTAACTCTTCCTATGCAGGAGAGTCAATTCTGACAGATATTTCCATAAATTTTAGGGTTAAAAAAATAAAGCAGTATGTAGGATCTCTGCGCCCAACAGAGCTTTTCCATCGTAAAAATTCCGTATTTAATGACATTTTCATTGCTGAATTAATGAGGTTTGGAGAGACTACTGTGATTCCATTTCACTTCTAAATTGAGGATGGTATACTGATACGTGATTCAATGTCTCAAGCTTCAGAAATCAGTACACAGCAAAACCTAACTCTGTCCACTTCCTTTCTCCTTTGTCTATGCAAACCCTGAAAAGCACTTTAGGTATTAGAAAACTGACCAGCAATTGCTAGTTTTCTGTAACAGAGATAAAATAAAATCTCTGCACCTCAGTAAATGCAGAAGTGTCCTGGTTTTCATTAAGTTCACAGACCTGGATTTTCACAGGAAGAGTACACTTACTATCCTTGCCCACCATGGACAGCCTACGCTCATCACACCACTATAAGCGCCTCTCAATGTGCCAGCCAAAACAAGACAGGGTCTGAGCACGAATCCACCATCACAGGGCTCCTCAACGCACCTGTGGGATTTTCCCTGATTTTGTTCTATTACGTCCTTGTTTTTTTCTCATATATTTTGCTTACAAAGGCTCAGTGGACCTATATCTTTTAAAGTCTACATATTTACATTTTAGCTATTTTAAGCATTCATGAATATCCCACAGTTTGGTCACTAATCCCTCCCCCCATACACCACAACCAGTGAAAATTAGCACAAACATTAACATGACTCTGCTAAGATGGAAACAACCTAATTAATGTTCTGGTATCACTTAGATGACATAACACATTTATTTCATGAAGTCTGATGCCAGGTAATAAAATCCAACACTTTCTAATATTCAGACTTGCCACGGATGCCAGGATCAAATGTAAACACAAACAAATAACTGACTTTTATGAGCTCTATAAAGTATTTGCTAACCTATCATGTGTATATATGTGTATGGGTATTCTCAAAGATGTGAAGAGCTGAGATTATAGGTTGGCACCACCATGCCCAGCCAGCCAGCCTATTTGTTTGGGGGGGGGTATATATGTGTGTGTGCATGTGCATGTAGAGGCCAGAGATGGACATCAGTTGTCTTCTTGTTCTCAACCTTACTTTCTGAGACAGGCTCTCTTGAGAAACCCTGGAGCTCACTGATTTGGCAGGTAGTTGCCCAGCAAGCCCCAGGGATCTTCCTATCTTGGCCTCCCCAGAGCTGGGATTACAGGCACGTACCATTGCACAGGTCCTTTTTTGTGAAAACTGGGGATCTTAATTCAGGTCCTCATGCTTGCCCAGCAAGCAATTCACTGACTAAGCTATCTCCCCACCCCTAGGTAGCTCATTTTCTGGCAGTACTGCTCTTTGGTCAGTCCACCTTATGTACAGGATTTATGATGACTTTTTAAAGAATTTTTTCCTACATCTCTACCTACACCATCCTTAACAGTTTAAATTTCCAAACTGCTATTACCAAATTAGCACAGTCCGTGGCACATCAAAAACAGTTTCACTACAGCCACCTATACTTAACAAGTATACAATAGAACAGGTCTTTTCTATTACTATTCTGGAAGATTTGAAGGCTTGCCCGTTCCCTACTGGAAAAATGCCTGAAAAAGTCATGCTCAAGGACAATAGGAAATTAAAACAAATCAGGGCATCAGTGAGAAGTCAACCACTGGAACCCACACATGGAAGGAAATGACTGCCACAGGTTGTTGTCCTCTGACCGCCACATGTGCACATACACAAAATAAAGAAAATCAGGGGAAAAAAAGAAAAAATATGAAAACCAGGTAAAAACAAATTCACCTTTTTAGGAATTGCAACTCTCTCAGACATTTCAATAAAGGCTGTTTTTGACGCCAAAGAACTCCACAATCAGACTCGTTCTCCACTCCTATCTTACATCCTGTTCTTTTTGTTCATCTCACAACCTACCCTCTGTCCTAAAATGTACAACATGTAGTATACTGATTAGCAAATTCTAAAAACAAAATGCTGTCCATTTAAGTTTGTTTTTTCTTTCATTTTGCTGTTAAGTAGTTGAGCCTGGCCTTGCATGAACTTACTATGTAGCCAAGGCTAGCTTTGAACTCCTGATCCTCCCGTTTCTACCTCCCAAATACTAGGGCTACAGGCATATACAACCACACTTGACGAGACTGCACATACTCACTAAAGCTCGTTATCTCAAAATATCTTCAAATCTGGTAAAAATGGATGCACTGCATTGCACGCTTTTAAAATGCCACCCATCACTGGGAGATGGTCCTCACCTACTCTAGTCTACCCATCTGAGCATAAGCAGAATCTTTCCCAATCAACATCCTTGCCTTTATCAATAAAAACTGTCAATGGTCCTCCCTTCCTGACTTGTCAAAGGATGGACAGGATCTCTGACCTTATCTCCCCTCTAAATCCCTCCTTAAACTACTCTCTGTCTAACCTGCAGTTTCCAGGATGCTCTACGGGGCTTCACCGGTGCTACTTTCCCACTTTATCAACAGGGTAGCATTTGCCCAGCTAACAGAAACTCCTCTAAGACCAAATAACCATCAGCTCCTCTTGGAGGCTTGTGCAGACCCTATGCCATTCCAACCCAGGCCTGGGTTTTCAAGCCTGCTTCTCACGGAGACGCACCTCATTCTACCTGCAGCCCCGTGTTCTTAACACGTCGTATCCAACCAAGCAGGAGAAGCTCAAAAACTGGGGCATGGACATGAACGCTAAAACTCTTTAAAGCCAGGGCTGAAGGCTGCCTCTACCTGTCCAGGTGAGCCTCTCTGGGGGATGCTCATACTCGCAACCTTTACTTCTAGGGGCCTGGAAAAAAAACACCCCCCCCCCATTCCTGGGGCCTCAGGGAGACACGCACTCCAGGTTCCCGAGGTCTAAGTGACCCAACACCTTGGTCAGGACATAGGCCGTGAAGAGGAGAAAGGCATGTTTTATAGTCCCAAAGCGATCGCAGGAGAGAGATCTGAGTGGCCGGGTCGGGAACCGCAAGGATCAAGGCCCGCGGTGGAGACGTGAGACCCAGAACCATATCCGGGTCCGCGACCCCCGGCCGGATCCCGCGCCCCTTACCGCGCGGCCTAAAGCCGCGGCCTCGAGTCCGGCACATCCCGGGAAGGCGCACTCGCCCCGGGTGTCCGCTCTGGATCAGGCCGCTCACCCACGGTCGCCGTGGCGCCACTCACCCGGCCTTCCGAGCCGACTCTGCCCATGGGCCTCGGAGGCGGCAGCGCGGAACCCGGCCGCCCTGCGCTGAAGCCCGTAAACCCCTGGACCCCGCCGCGGTGCCAAACCTCCGCAGAGTCCGCAGGGCGCTCCGCGGCGCGGGGAGAGAGAGCGGAGGCTGCTGGGAGCGGCGCGTCTGCGCCTGCGCCTACCTCTGCACGGAAGTCTGCGCCTGCGTGAGTCTCGATTACCCAAAGCTGCACTTCTCGGGCCGCACTGCTCCCTGCTGGCGGGAGGACCGCATCGCACCTCTCCCCTGCCAGCTTCATCTTTCACCAAGAGGTGTCGCCATTGGCTCAAGGTTTGTGAATTCCGTGTGTTGAATGACCCAGATAGTGAGGTGTAGGGTTCAAGGCGGTACCGTCTAGCAGGAGAGAGATGAGGATCCTCCCAAGACCCCACTTCTCTTTCATTCACAACTAGTCCTTCATATGCGAAATGATGGAAGTAAATGTCCGTAGGCAAGATGTTTCAGAATAGCCATAGGCGTTGAAATAAGCTTCAAAACAAACGTAAACATTATAAACCCCCACAGTTTAAAATTGAGAATAACTAAAGGAAGGGAAAAGAAAACCAAGCTTCGTGTAAATGGGATTTTCACATCTTTAATTGGGTGTAAAAGTGATTTCAAGCTGATGAAATTGTAGAGGATTAGGTAGAATGCTTAGTACAAAAAACCCACCAAGATACTACAATCAACTAAAATCTGGTATACAAGAAAGTGCTCAAACAATTCTGAAATGTTGAAAATGAAAGAATGAAAAAGATATACTAGCTAATGCCAGATAAATATAAAGAAATTAGATGGCAACACCATACACAGCACAAACGTGTTAAAGTGCAATTTTATAAAGCATATAATTCATAATGAAGAAAACTAGGAAAATCTATACACCAAACAGCATAAAATCGTTACTTATAACAAATACGATAGGAATGAATAAACAGGAAGAATTGGTGCAGTCCTTGCCAGCTTAAAGGCATACACACACACACACACACACACACACACACACACACACACACACGAAGTTGAAAAGATTTTAAAATGAAATCAATGTGGCAAATCTAATATTTAAAACTCTGGGCCAGCAAGATCGGCAGCAGGTAAAGGCACTTGCTCTCAAGCCTGATGACCAGACCTCAATCCCCATGCCCCACATGGTTGAAGAAGATTACCAAGGCCAGCAAATTGTCCTCCATGCATGCACCATGGTACATGCCCACTCACACACATACACACACTTAACTAATAAATACATGTAAGTCAATAAAGCTATGTACCCTGAAACAGAGTTTACATCTTTCTAAATATCAATAAAACATTGGAAACAATTGGCCATATTTTAGGCAATGGAGAACAGGCTTAACATATCCAGGTAGACAAACCATTTGGGTATCATTATCTGATCGCAGTCAGTTGAACCAGAAATTAATGGCAAATGAAAGATGAAACATTTCCACTCCTTGGAAAATTTTAAATGCTTAGATAACATTCGGATCAAGAAGAAAAACAAAACCCAAACAGCACCATAACCATAAAAGAATGAAATGACATATCAGAACCCATAGAAACAGCGCGAAGAGGAAAATTCAGTTCTGTGTTTTTAAAATATATTTTATTTATTTATTTTTTTCATATGTGTGAGTGTATTGCCTGAATGTACATAAATGCACCCATGTGGTACAATGCCTGCGGAGGACAGAAGAGGGCATCTGATCCCCTGGAACTGGAGATAACAGATGGTTGTTAGTCCTTATGTGGGTCCCGAGAACAAAATCCGAGTCCTCTACAAGAGCAGCCAGTGCTCTTAACCACTGAGTTATTTCTCCAGTCACAGGTCTGAATTTTTGTATTGATTAAAGTTTAGAAGAAGTCCAACAAGCTAAGAAGCTGCATAAGAAGCGAGAAATAGAGCAAACTAAAAATAACAGAGGGAAGTCACTGATTTTTTTTTTTAAAGCAGAGAATAATGACTTGTAAAGAGAATAAAGTTGAGGAGCAAGACAAGAAGGTGTCTGGATTGGATCTCCTCCTCACACCTTGATCAAAGCACAGGTAGGTGTACAAAGTCCCAATTCCAAGACCAGAGCTGTAGGAACCCCCCTAAGATGAATCTGCCGTTTGCTGACTCTCCCCAAACCCTGTGACCATCTATGCTGTGGGATCTGTCTACACTCCCCTCCTCAATTCTTGGATGAAGTTTTGTGCATTTATTCTCAGATTGTTCAGTGACAGCTTTCTGATTTCAGACACTACGGTGGCAAGCATGCCCATTGTTGGGCAATTTAAGTAAGAAAATCATACTTAAATGAAGTATGAACTTTCCCAGCAGTGTTCAGCAGCCTGGAGGGAAGACAACAGGCATTAATGGTAGCATCAATCAAATATAGAACACTAATGAACCCGAAAGGAAAATTATTAGCAGGGCAGATGTTCCAGAAAGAAGCAGGATGAGGAGCAGGATGAGAGGGGCATTTAGGCCATGAGAAAATGGGTGGGTGAAATGTCCTAGCATACAAAAAGGACACACTGGAGTGGGGTATGAGGTGGGGACAAAAACGTGGGTGCTTTAGAAGGAAAACAAGTTGGGTGCAGTGATGATTTGATTAAAATTATCATTTGGTCCAAGCATCATCTTTCCAAGAACTCTGTGTAGCGATACTGTCAATACGTCACTGAGGATAATTTTTTTTCTTCTTGTATATCTTTTATGTGTATGTGTGCGGTGTCTGCATGGTACATGTTCATGTGTGCAGCCATGCATGCACCTATAGGGGCCAGAGGTCGACATCAGGTGTTTTCCTCTGCTGCTCTCCACCTTATTTTGATGGTTTGTTTTTAATCTTTTTTTTTAGGTGTATGAGGGTATTGCCTGCATATGTGTAAGTGCACCTGTGTTGTGCAATGCCAATGGAAGTCAGAAGAAAACTTCAGATCCCCTGGAACTGGAATTACAGATAGTTGTTAGCCGCCATCTGGATGCTGGGAATTGAACCTGGGTCTTCTGCAAGAGCAACCAGTGCTCTTAACCTCTGAGCCATCTTCCCAGCCCCTGTTTTTGCTTTTTAAGACAGTTTTCCACTAAATCGGGAGCTCACCATTTTGGCTGGATCTGTGCTAGGGTTACAGACATGCATGGACACACTCAGCTATTTGTGGGTGCTGAGGATCCAAATCCTAGTCCCCATGCTGGTGTGGCGAGCACTTTACCCATGGTTCTGTCTCCTCCTTGCCCCCCATATATCTTTAAGCAGTTTTGTCCATTTTTAAGATATTTCTACATTATCTTCCAAGTCATTTTCTACAATCATTACTGCTGTGTGATGTTTATAACAACAAACATTCAGAAACAAAATTAATATAAAATAATAAAGACACAAAATCCAATGATGTTGGGGTAAAAATAATTTAAATGGAAGGGAATTTTTTGTTTTAAAATGACACAGAGAAAATATCTAAATAATGTTTTTCAAATTTTTTATAGATAGAATTATAAGGAGTCTTCTAAATGTTTTTTTATTTGTGTGTAGCTTTCAATTTCCCAATATGTATGTATTACTTTCATAATAAAAATAATTAAAAGTATGATCAATTTTAAAAAAATATTTGAATTTTTTGAGGGTTAGAAAGTTAAATTAATCATCTACCAATTAATGCCTGTTTCACTTAAGATTGTCATAAATTTTTAAATTGCACTGATTGAAAATTAAGCTTCTTAGGGCTGAAGAGATGCATCAATGGTTAAGAACACTGGCTGCTCTTGTATCCACTTAGTAGCTAACAGCTGCCTATAATTCCAGGTCCAGAGGATCTGACGCCCTCTTCTGGTCTCCGTGGGCATTGCACACAGGGGTGCACTTACATATAGGCAAGCAAAACACCCATAGAAACAAAATTAAAGTAAAATTAATTTAAAAAAGAAAGTCAACCTTCTTAATAAGATTTTTCTCTTTCTATTGAAGCTGCATGTTCTTTCACTCATGGTTTTGGGGGTGAGATCCAGAGCCTGGTGTATCCAGAGCCTGGGACATCCTAGGCAATGACCCCATCATTAAGCTATACCTATACCCCTAGCCTAGGAATTTTGTGAGTCAGGCCGCCTAGCATGAGTCTGGCCCCAGATCTGAGCTCCAACATGACAAAACAAAGCATAATTTCTATGTATGCCTGATGGCTTTTGTGTGGCTGTTTTTAATTCCTAGCTTATATATCCATACATCTAAAATGGCAAATAAAGTGGTATGTGTCATTGGCTTTGCAGCTGTGACAGTATCACCATTCAAACACTGAAAGCAAGCTCTTAGTCTGTGAATGAAGTCTCCTTGGGGGACTGCTGTCCTTTCCATTCTGTCCTTTTGTGCATCCCTAGCATACGTGAGCAGATGCAAGTCTTGTTCCAGTACTTTGATGGGGAGTACAGCTCTGAGTGGTGACCTTCATGTGGTCCCCAGTGTGTGATCAGGTCATCAAAGTCACGTAAGCCAATGCTGAGGTGTGATCAGGAAATGAGTTTATCTGTGATCTGAGGGTTTTCAGGGATTAGTAACCCTTTCGATTTGTACTCTCCCTCCCTCTGTGGAGCAAAAGTGATACAAGGTGACACAGCTCAGCACAGACACTGAAACATGGTCAGGATGGAGGGAGAGAACTATAGCCAACCACACTAGGAAACTTAGCACTGGTCGTATCATTTATTCCCAATTATACAGCTATTATGCCCATTTTTCAGAATAGAACAGTGAGGCTCAGAGACATTGGGGATTTCCTGAGGTTACACAACTAGTGAATTATTGAACTATAAGTGGACTGAGGTCTGTCTGGAAGACTTGGTATACTTTTGGTATATTAAGCTGCCTTATGAAGGCAATTTAGTAAGCAGCAGCAGGACAGTGATGCCCTCACCGGGTCTATTTCAAATCTTGAACAGTTTAGTTTCCAGTTTAAAATCTTGTTTGAACTGTTTCACTGTTCCCATTCTGACAAGTAGTTTATGAAGCCCTTTGTATGCACTACACACTGGAAGGGATGAGTTACATATTTTATCTAATTTACTTCTCCTAAGGGCTATATGCTAGCTGTTACATCCTCATTTGAAAATGAAGAAATGACAACTTTGAGAGACACT